TTAGAAAGCCATGGCCTTCTAATGTGACTTTTGCAAATATGACTCAGGGGTGGCCTTCTAATGGGGGTGGCCTTCTATTCTGGGGTGGCCTTCTATTCTGGGGGGGAGTTTACACAAGTTCAGTATCTATGTCAAAAAAATACTTAGTTAAGAGCAGGCCCCGCGCGAGGGACCCAAGATTGGGGGGGTGTGACGAGATTTCAAGGCAGTCAATACTGAGCGAAGCAAAATTTTTTTCGCATCAGATCTGATGTTAATCTTTTTCTGCGGACCTAAAATGTAATCATTTTTCACGAAGCGACAACTTTTTGCAACCTCCTTAAAAAATTTGATTTTTTCTCGCAAATTTTCAAGAAGAGAACTCGAGTCCAATATGAGAAAATTTCTCGATACTGTCGCTATCGAAAGCGACCACTTTGGTGCAAATTGCTCTATATCAAGCTGTTTCAAAGGGAAAGTTGACTAAAGTATTATCCGATCCAAAATGAAAGGCAGGTTACCATTTTTCGCATAACTATTGATACGAACGAGATAGAGAGCTGCGGTTTTCACCATTCGAAAGAGCGATGTTCGAGCCATTGATCGGTGTAGAACTGATTAAAACGAAAGATATTTTTTTTTATGTGTACCTTTGGATCAACACTTTTCCTTTAAGTATTTTCATCAATTTTTAGAATAATCTCAACTCTAATTATGTCAAAATGTAGCTCAAATCATCCTCTTTTTGCTATAAAATTAACATTTGTTTTTTTTAAAATCCGCTTAGAATAAGCGATTGAGAGATAATAAAATATGTGATAATTTTATGGCGAAAAGAGCGTGATTAGAGCTACATTTTGACATAATTTGAGCTGAGATTATCGTGAAAATTGATGAAAATACTCAAAAGAAAAAATGTTGATCCAAAGGTACCTATAAAAAAAGCATCTTCCGTCTTAATGAGTTCTATACCGATCGATGGCCCAGACATCCCTCTTTCGAATTGTGAAAACCGCACCTCTCTATCTCGTTCCTATCAAAAGTTATTCGAAAAATGGTAACCTGCCTTTTATTTTGAATCGGACAATAGGAAGTTTGTCTAAGTTATCTGCGGTTACACAATTGTTATTTTTCGCAAAGCGAAAACATTTTTCAGACTCACGAAAAACTCTTTTTCCCTTATGTTGTTCGAAAGCAAAAAGTGTTGCGATAACTCTTAGACATTTCGCCGCCGAAGGCGGCCACGCTAGTGACAACTGTTGGAAAATAAAGCTCTTCAAAAAGAAGACAGAAGTAAAATTGCGTTAAAAACAGAAAAATCACAGATATTTCTAGGTCGAATACGCTCCCGTGGTCATGTTTTCGCGAAGCGAAAAATTTAAACATCCCTTCAGAAATTTCTAGCAAAAAATTTCAAAAAGATTTATGGATTTTGTTGGCTACGAATGAGTAATTAAATTTTAGGGGGGGGGGGGGGGGGAACAACCCCCCTACACCCCCCCACTTTCGCGGGGCCTGGTTAAGAGACTAATTAGCATTAGCTCAAAAAAAAACTCATGAATGTGAACAATATAATGCTGCTTATTCAATTGGAATCGAACATTTTAAATTTCTTAAACGTGTTAAAGAATATGACTTAAATGAAACTGATTCAGCCGCAAATGATAATCTATTATGAAAAAATACATCTTTTGTACCAACTACAGGTCTTGTTACGGATTTATTTCCAAATGATGATGATATCTATATTGATGAACAAGATATGACAACTGGAACAAATCAATCAAAACGATTTGATTCTTATGCTGATTTAACGATGTCACCATCACAATCAGCCAGTGGTTCATTTATGTCAGCAACTGGTTCTAAAATACCAGCTAGATTCAGAACTTTACATAATTTAGTTATTCAATATGCATCTGTAGGTCGCTATGAAGTTGCTGTACCATTATGTCAACAAGCACTTGAAGATTTAGAAAAAACGTCGGGCCATCAACGTAAGTTTCATCTTTATTTTACAATAATTTATTAATAAAATACATTTTTTTCCTTTTTTTCTGTGTGTGTATCTTTGTTAGCCTCTAAGCAACGTGAAATCAATCGGATTGAAAGTTTTTACTACAGATAGACGGTAAAAAAAATTATGAAAGTCGTTCTCTTCTCCTTAAAATAACCATATAACAATTCTAACAAAAGAGCTAACTCATTATTGAAAATCTTTACCATGTAAAAAAGAAAATCTTAAAACATTTGTATTTTATGTTAAGCTAAAAACAACATTATTGAGAAGAAATGAAACTTTTTGTATTTCTAAGTGAATTCTCTCATGTATATCATAATATCAGTGGAAAATCATAATGCAGTATTGACTTATTGAAATAATTGTTTATCAAGGAATACAATAATTTACATTATCGAAAGACTAATTTACAATGAAATCAATGCCAGTATATATATATATATATTATATTTAAATCTCGTAGAGATCTTATCGACAAAGTCTAATTTTTAAGATATTTCTATAGATCCTGATGTTGCTACAATGCTTAATATTCTTGCTCTTGTTTATCATGATCAATCAAAATTTAAAGAAGCTGTTGCTTTACTTAATGATGCATTAGCTATTCGTGAAAAAACACTTGGACCTGATCATCCAGCTGTAGCAGCTACATTAAATAATCTAGCTGTTCTCTATGGTTATATCATTTCTTGTATTCGAATTCGAAAGAAAAAATAACATTATCTTCTATTGTTTATAGGTAAATGTAATAAATTCAACAAAGCTGTACCACTCTGTCAACATGCTCTTGAAATTCGTCAAAAATGTCTCGGTACATCACATCCTGATGTTGCTAAACAGCTTAATAATTTAGCATTACTTTGTCAAAATCAGGGTAGATACGATGAAGTTGAATCATATTATAAACGTGCGATTGACATTTATACAAAAAGTTTGGGTCCTGATCATCCAAATGTTGTGAACACAAAAAGCAATCTTGCATCAGCTTATCTTAAACAACAAAAATATAAAGAAGCTGAGGAAATCTATCAAAATATTTTAACACAAGCACTAGAAAGAGAATTTTCAAATAAAACTTCTGCTGTATCTCAGCAACAACCAGAAACTCAAAAATCTCAACAATCAAACAGTGGAACAACAGGAGGAAATTACAATGCACAAGGTGGATGGTATAAAACAATTTTAACTAATCAGTCAACGATAACGACAGTATTAAAAAATCTTAGTTTATTATATCAACGTCAAGGGAAATATGAAGCAGCTGACACATTAGAAAAGTGCGCAGCTAAAGCACGAAAAGATCCACAAGCAATTGTTCAAGTACTTGATATTATTAAACAAACAAATTTAACAACTCAACAACAACAACCATCACCTTCATGCCTCTCATAATATTTCTTACTCATTCTCTCTCTCTCTAGCATTCTGAACAGTGGAATATTTCTATTGATCATCCACAATTTGGTTTTTTTTAATCTTTCGTGTTCATTTGTAGCTTTCACGAAATTTTATTTCTAATTCTGATTCATTTCATTGCTCTCTTGTTAATTCTATTGGCGGATGTGGATGTAACTGTTGGTAGATTTCAGTGTGGATTATCTTTATACTCACACTCATACTCACTAATACTTGAAAATGTACTGATAAAGTCAGAGAGGTTTTCAAAGTTAGCTTCAGCAGAATTTGTGGTACTGATTCAAATTATTCCAGGTCATTTTTTACAAGAATTCCAAAAAAAGGTGTGGGTGTGGGCGGGTGTCGGTGTGGCTGTGGGTGCGGGTGGAGTGGGTGTGGGGTGTGGGTGGGTGGAGTGTGGGTGCGGGTGTGAATTGATTTCTACTCCTTGGTCTAACCCTTACCCACCACCCACACCCATACTCATCCACACTCCACAAGCACACCCACACCCACACCCACATCAACACCCACACACCCACACCCACACTCACACCCATCCACACCCACACCCACACCCACACCCACACCCACACACCCACACCCACCCACACCCACATCCCACCCACACCCACACCCCACACCCACACCCACATCCACCCACACCCACACACCCACACCCACCCCACACCCCACCCACACTCACACCCACACCTACACCCACACCCACACCCACACCCCACACCCTAAGCCTGTTGATCAGGGTTAATAACACACACATTCATATTCACACCCACATCCGTACACCCAGACCAACATATCCACCCATCCACACCCACACCAACACATCCACCCATCCACACCCACACCCTAAGCCTGTTGATCAGGGTAAATAACACACTTACATCCATACTCACACCCACACCCACACCCTTGCAAGCTATGCAAGAGTTGAAAAAGCTCTTTTTATTTTTTGTGAAACGTAAGTTTGTTGACATCGTCGCCTTCAAAGTAATTTTTGTTTTCAATAAAAATTTTGTTTCTTTATTTTGAAAAAAAATGAAAAAGAGCACATTTTTATTCGTCAGGATGTAGTTTTTATCGGTTTCATCTGATGCAACTCTTTTCTCTCAATAAATTTCATTTGCTAGACGAAAAAAACATACAGAGAAATAGAATCATTCGCTGTTTTTTTACCTGGAGATAACACATCATTGTATAGAGTAAACGTGAGTAATTGAATGAAAGTGGTGCGAACTAAAAATTATTTTGAACTTTTGAACAAATCTGTCTATCGACGCATGCATTTCTATAGTTAACTTCTTCCTTTTCAAATATAGAAGCTGGTTAGTGAGAATAATGGAGAAGAGGATTATCAGATCTTGAGAAAAGTCAAGAAAACTTTTGAAATGGAATTTTTTTTTCTGTTCTTCAGAATTCCTTAGGCGGCAATTTTATTAGTCGAATTATTTAGAAGTAATTATTGTTATCATAGAGGTCAGTGTTGTGTCGTTTTGCTGCTCTCTTTGACATGGGTAGATTTTGTGAACTGACGAACACTTACAATTTACGAGCATAGCTTTGTATTGGTAAACATAATATAATAATAAATGCTAAATAATTCTTGTTAACAGTTTCATCAATATGTTTTATCTGAAAAGTATTTGTTGAAGCAATTTCAGGTAGTTAGAAAACATGAAGAATAACATGAAATTTATGTTCTAAAACCTCGATTATTTTGCGTTAGTTTTTCTCTTATATTTAGCGTCTTTCGAAAACTTGTTTTTGTGATATTAATTAAGAATGGAAGATCATGCGCTGCAAGTTAAGGAAACCAGGTCAATATATTCCAAATTCAAGATACTTACAGCCTTTCATGTGTTCTGGCTACAATGTTGGATTCGTGTTTTTTTTCTTTATGGTTTTATAAAACACGACAAGCTACATTAGAAAAAAAAACAATATCACGCATATTAAAAAACAAATTTTATGAAGTCAAAGACAGCATTATTGTTAAATAAAATGGTGATGGACACAACAGTCTGGCTGCTTTAAATTTGTTTTTTTAATATGCGTGATATTTTTTCTTATGAAGCTGATTGCACTTTATCCGACCATGACGAAAAAAAACAAATAAGCACTGATGTAACTTTGTAGTCTGGCCATAGAACATGTTGTAAATATCTTGAAATTAGCATACATAGATTTGTATACTATGGACAGCTCATAATTTAAATTAGTTAGTTTAGTAGTGATACCGTTGATTGGATTCCTATGTGTTCCATCTTCTTAACCTACAGTATACAACCCTCTATTATAAGCTACATTTTGTTTGTATTGTCTTTCTCTAATGTGAAATAGTTTCGAATAAAAAGTATGAGTCGATAAACATTAAAAAAATGAAGCCTTTTGCACCAGTATGCCAATATAATAGATACTGGTTAGCAAAAAGTTGCCCTATCTGATTAGTTTTTGATTTTGAATAAAAAGAACTTAGTTTTATATTAACAGCAAGAATTTCTGATTTTTAAGTTCCTCATCTGACATCATTGATGGGGTATCGTTGGCCTGACTACGTTTTAATTGAGAGTTCTCCATTATGATTATGAAAACGATCTTTCTAATATTGAACACGAACTAGCACACACACTAAAAAAAATTGTTGAATGGCGCAGTAAAGATGTGGGTATAAAAGAACATTAGAGTTTATTATGAATTGTTTCTGTTACTTAACTGATCTTAGATCTTTCCAGTGAAGAGATAATGAGTACTTTGCAGTTCTCATTTTTGTACATTCTGTGCGTCACATGTCGTATATTTGATTGATCTTTCTACTTCATGCATTAGTAAAACATGACGCAGATGGAGTGGATATCCTTGAAGAGTAGATACGCAGTGCATCACATAGCCATATCCGACCAGCAATTCGTTTTGAAAGTGAACAATCTCATAGATTATCAAAAGATTTAGAGTGCGGATATATTGGCGTTAATTTTCTCTTCTGATACTCATACCAACCACAGTTAACACATACAGTTACAGCAACTAGTCCACATTCTCAAGATAAAGTTAGTATAGACGGTAAACCAGATGAAAAGATGAGGCTCATTGTTGAAATCATTTTCGATCAGCAAAATAATACCTTTATTGATTATAGCTGATCGACAAACATTGGTTTATCGGAATGTAATGACTTTCATTGGTAAAGAGAGCGCAATACCACGTCAAAACACAGGAGCCGCTATTGCTGAATGGTTAAGTTGTTCGACACATCCACAAAATACTGTGTTCGAACATAGAATGACCTTGGACAAGTCATTAACGGCTGTTTTGTCTCGGACCACCCATCTGAAAACAAATTGACTACGTTATTGACATACACTAAATGGTCTCTGTGACATATCGTTAGTCAGTATGTATGGGAAGCTTAAGAAATTAAGCGAGAAGAACTCTGAGTCAGGCAGATCTTCTGTCCAGAGCTACATTTAGTAATAGATGTAGGAAAATATCGGGCTTCTCGAAACTGTTCTCGGACAGCACCCTATACCGCAAGATAGCCGAAAGGCGAGGTATTCTTCTTCGTCAAAACACAGGCGTTGTGTATCTTGAGACATTTTTATGATTAAGTTTATCAGCGAAAAACAAAGACCGAAAATACTTGATGCTTTGTAGCCAAAAGAAAAAGACCTTATCTGGGCATCTGATAGCAGTATAGCATAAAGAATCAGACAAGTTTGCATCTAGAGCACAAAAGCAGTCGATAATCACGCGTGTTTGTTATTGGATTTATCAATCGAAGGTTTTACGCGAGCATTGGTTTTCTTATTTTTTTCAGTGCGAACAAGGCGAACACACATGTCATTTCTTGAGTGGCAAGACAAATTCGATGAGATATTCGAGGACTGCCCAGATCAATGGACTCTGTATTATGTTCATCGAAATAATATCAATCAGCAACGTACGCTAGAGTCTAAGCGCAAAATGGAACGCACCGGTTATGCACAGTGAGTGGATTTTTGATTGAATTGAATTTTCTTGAAGATTGACGTTTTTGTCTTCTAATTAAGATTTGTTTGTACTCGATGCTCGAATCATTGGTCATCAGCTAAGGCCAATATAATGTTCTACTACCCAGCAAAAAATGAACCATTAGGCAAAATTGGCATACGTCTTTTTGGTCAAAAATGTAAGAAGTGTACTCGTAATCAATCATTTGCCGAACCTAATTATGACAGTCAGAAAATAGAAACATTTTTAACGAAACTTCGAGAACGCATCGACTATAATTGTTATGAAAAGCCACGAAAGGGACCAAACAAGATGATCGAAATCAACAAACCATACATCTCAAGAGGACCTCATATCCGTGAACTCTGTGAAGCATGTATTCTTGGAATTTGCGTACGTCAAAATGAAAATATGACTGATTAGAGCAGCAGCTATTAACGAACATTCATCTTTTCATCACGTGCGCTTATTAATTATTAGCTTCATAGAAGAGGCAAGACGGAAAGTGAGAATGAGGATGGGTGTGGGTGCTTATATATAGTTCTAGAGAATATCGTGCACTACTAGAATCGATAGTTACTTTTTCCAAAGTAAGGGTGTGGATGTTGGTGTTGAGAATAAAACGAAGTCACTAACATATACACCTATGCACACACCCCGCATCTACACATCTCACATCCACAGATCCCAACCACTCACACTTACATCCGAAAATCGATGAATATAAAACCCGTACAAACAAAGACGAAAATCGATGAATATAAAAGCCGTACAAACAAAGACGAAAATAAATGAAGGAATAAAGTTACAATGAGAAGACAAAGAAAATAAAAAATGGCAGCAGCAACAGAAAATAATAGTAATAGTTTGTAAGTGGGTGTGGGTGTGGGTGAGGTGTGGGTGTGGATGAGGTGTGGGTTTGTGGGTGTGGGTATGGGTGGGTGTGGGGTGTGGCTGTGTGGTGGGTGTGGGGTGTGGGTGTGGCCGTG